AAAGTAAGTACACATTCCTCTGTAACATTCCTGGTAGCTTGCATAACGACAACGCACTATGTCACCATCAGGATCTTCAACAGGTATTTTAATGACTGATGGGCTACCTAGATCTACGTAGACCGTTAGTGGAAGACTGGAGACTGGCGAAGAGTTGTTAAAGAGACCAATGGCAGATGCGTTGACCGTCGCACTCAGTAGCATGCTTCCGTAACCATCAACTCTAGAGACATTACGTATCCAGTATCCATAGTTATAGGTTCTGTCGATAGACAAAATAATTTGTTTTTAAAATGCTCTATCAAATCTTCCACTTTATGGTTATCATTGCACTATTTCTCATTGCTCTAAAACGTGAAATATGAAAATGCAAATTTACTTTACGTCGCTTGTAGGTAGTGATTGATCAGTCGCTTAGGCACTCCACACCAAATGGAATTCGATTTTTATGGAGGGAGGAAAACCGGAGAATCGGGAGAAAACACTCGAAGAACGATGATGGAGATGTGATGAAGGCCATGTGAGCTATTTTATAATCCGAAATAAAAAATATATATATATATCATATGACCCGTACGGCCCTGCTCGCGCGCTCTAATAAAACCATTGGAAAAAGTCACGTGATGGGGGCCGGACGGGTTGACGTAAGCGGGCCGGAAAAACCCGTCCGGCCCTGCTCGAATCCGCGCGCTTTCTTTTTCTTAATTATTTTTATTTTCGTGAGGGTCATATGATAAAATGCTTATTGACATAACGTACGACATAACCTCGAGCCAAATATTTTCCCGTACGGCCCTCCCACTCAGTCAATAAGTACATAATATGTATGTATGATGATGACGACGATGATGACGATGATAATGATGGAGAGGATGATGGTAATGGTAATAAGCATAAGTGGCCGATGGCTATTTACAATAGGCGTATTTTATATTTGACTTACTTAGCTATCAACTTTATGTCGTCGTCGGTTTGATAAGCAAACGAGCCGTTTCCCTCGCTCCAGCCTTCTTCACTGTTGTAACTGCTGCATAAAAACCAACTTCTGCTGTGATTGCCGTAATTTCCATCATAAGAAGAACCATAATAGGTAAATTTTGTCACAGACCAAGGCCAAGAGTGCAAGTAGGTCCATGTAACAGGATGTCCGATATTTCCAGCGTAACAGTAAACATAGCTCAAGTCAAACGCCAATCGGTATCTGAACTCGACCTATAAGATAAAAAGTAATGCGTTACCTTGCAACTGGAAAGCTTTGTTAAAGGTAAAATGTCTGGCTGGCTGGAACAAATGTGCAACGCGTTCCACAACCAACAGCACTCGTAAGGTCTTTGTCAAAAAATGGATAATAATAATAATGATGATGATAATGACGACGATAATAACAACAATAACACCACCACCATCACCACCACCACCAATTGTCACTAGCTGTCACAACAAAAACAAATATTTTAGCCCGAAACGCCACATGGGCGATGTAAATGCAATTACGTCACTGCGATATGGACTCTCGGAATTGTCCGGCAAATCTTATATCTGCGCGTGTTTCTGTGCTGATACTAATTACGTATGATCCACAATACATTTTGGGCTTCGTATGCAACGTACGACAAAACCTTCACAAGCATTTTTTTAATAGCTGTATAACAATAAATAATTTTTCCGGCATGAATATAACTATAAATAAGATACCTAATATAAATAACTATATCATCGCCCGCCATTGCCCACAAAAAAAATTGGCGGCCGTGAAAAAGTTCTAAAATTTCATAGCATTTGATTGTAGGGAAGTGGGTATGTTTGCTATTAAAAACACTGAACATATAGTATTTTAGACGTCGAGAGAAAAGTTCCAACGGAGGATTACAAGGCATAAACTGCCAATCTCTTAACTTGCCTCTCCTGTTTCAGTTCGTTTCGAGACCGTTTCTTAAAAAGGTTATGCCTACGTTCCCTAAATCGCATGACTTACTTCCAAAGAAAGTTGCAAAAAATTTCAGTTTTCTAAAAATATTTTACCTCGCAGGAATCCAGCCTAATAATATACTAGATATAAAGATATATATTAATGTTATTAGATATTATCTAAAGGTATACATTACCCAGTTCGCATGGTATGTACTTGGCCAGTAAGAGATGGTTCCTCCTCTGTAACTATTACGACCCCACGAATGAACCACACCGGAGAACAATAGGATAATCAACCCGAAAAACTGTACCAGCTCCATGACTTAGCTTGTCCTGCAAACAGGCTAAAAACCTTGGGATCGCGCGATTCCACTTTCAAAAAAACTCAGTCTAAGATGCTTTGCCCCGCACAACKAAGACAAGCGTTCTGGAACAGGAATTTGATTCCGAGAACTTTTATCTACAAGATAGCTACGCCCTAATTCTATTGATAGATATTGAAATCAGGGGGGAGCACCCTTTATAATGACGTCGTACTGTGAGGGCAAAGCCGGTCTGACTACATCTGATGCCAGAAATTTGAAGCAAAATTTGAAAACTTTGGAGACTGCGGCAATTGTCTTGATTTACAATACAACATAAGAAGAGACGATTTTTGTTAAACTTTCTTTCGATTTTGGAAACGTTTGCACAGATCTTAAACGTACGGAAGTGAAGTACTCCCCCTTAACAAGCTCTCAAGGTTACCTTTCAACCTTGCGAAATAAAAACGAAAAGCGTCACAGAAAGACACGCTCAGACAAATCAACGAATATTAGTTCAAACACATTGTTTTTAAATTATGTTGGACAACAGAAAAATCTTATAAAGTCAATATGTATTGACAATTCAAAGAAAATGCGCCTTTTTGATTGATTTTGATAAACATCTAATAATATAAAGCCAGGTTTAGTTCCAAGAAAAGTTTGTGTTGACATTTGCGTTGATTTGTGAGAAGATATGACAATGAACTTGCAAGTTAAGCAGTTTCTAGAGCACCAAAGTTTTTTTTGTCAAAACCATGTGTGAAACAGGACTAATCATAGAAAGATAAAAACAGAAACTTAAAAGCTTATGGTTTTATCAAATATTTTTGAAAAATAATTATATTAAGGCTTCCAAAACACGAATAAAATGTCTTTTTTTCTTAGAAGTCTGCCTAATGTCACAGGGGTTATCAATTATTCATTTTTGTGTATTCAGTGCTAGTTTAACATCACGTCCATCCAGATTCGATATTCCTAGAAATCTGACTTTTAATCTAAGTTCCTTACATTCTATTGAAGTTAAATAAACTTTCATCTCGGCCACACAGTCGTTATACTACAAGGGTATATACATTTTTTGGTTTTCTTTCTTTCTTTTTTTGATATCGAAAAGTTTTCACGATACAAATGGCTTTAAACAAGTTAAACGTTTTAAAAATACCATTGACTTTGAACAAAACCCATGCACATTCACTCCTTTGACATGAAAGGGCAAAAGTCTTAGTCAAATTAAAGCTTTCATGAAAACAGTTTATATATGCAAACAATATTATTAGCGGTAAGGGTGTATAGTTTGTTTTGGCCCGTGCCTCGTTGTCTCAGTCCGAATCGAACCGAAAACAATAAAGGATCTTAATAATGGTTWTCTGAATGAAGGAAGCTGCAAGAAATAAAACCGTTAAATTATCAACGAGTATCGTTTACATCGTTGCGTCAAACTTGGCCATGTTTGTTTTGCTGGTTCTTGTCAGTGTTGCTTTTYGTGTAAGGTGTTTATTCGTTTGTTTTTGCTTCATAATAAAGACGATTTTATAGTTCTATCAAAATAGCATAAAATCAGTGTTCGCCAGTTTTTGACAAGAATAAAGAAAGTTGAATTCCCAGCAAAGAAAGGACATCAAATGAACTCAGGATGTTTATCTATCCATCAGTACATCACCACACTTGACTCGAAGGCTTCTTTTTTTTTTTCCCGATAAACTCAATGCTTCGCTTGTCTTTCCTAAATTAGCAATCAATTTACTTATTGCACAGTTTAACTTCAATATCTTGCCATAATTATTACCGCATTAATACCGAACGCTTGCACTGCTTTGTATTCGTAGATAATATACAAAATTAAAGCAGGGAATGTTTGGAGTAAATCCAACCTATCTACAAACAAATTCAAGCACATCTAGACTTCTGGTTACTGTAATTTAAGAGCACATCAAAGTCTTCCACTCCCGGGGCTTCCACTCTCAGTTTGTATGTATATATAATGGCTAATATTACAAAAAAATATTGACAGTACCACGCTGTCAAATGGCTTTTAAATTATTTCGATAATGACTACATGGATGAAAAATGTTTTAGCTGTATTTGATTGGTTCACTAAGGAAAGCCATTTCGAAGTCACAACATAGTCATACCATATGTTTCACTCACACCGAATCGTTTTCTAGCTCGTATAAAAAATGTACTAGTTCTTTGCTAGGTTAAAAAATCTTATGACCACAATAGTAAAAGGCTTTAAAATGTGTGCCTGAACCCGTTTGACATTGTCAAAATCAAACAACGTAGCGAGAACTGACATTGCAAAATCTTGGCACTCAAGTCGACTTCCGGGTCCAAAATTGGAAAGTTTCTTAAAATAACTTTCTTTAACTTTAGGCCTGGGGTGCTTACCATTTACACCAATCCATCTGGTTGGAAATTCATTCGCTAGTGCTAAGAAAAGAGCGGGAAACTTTGACTTTCGAAAAATGGTAAACGCGTCTACCGAAAGAACCGAAAAGAGCGGGAAAAGTCAATCTTAAGACCGAGTGTTCCGGAATTTTCCGATCGGAATGATACAAACCATTTGTTTTCAACCGGAATTCCCGGTTTTTCTGGGTAAATGGTAAGCACTCCTGGTTTCAGCGATTTTCATTCTAGTTTGGACCAGGAAGTACGTCACAACTTAAAGCTCTATTTCAAAATCCTTTCCCTTGGGTTCTCCCTCGGGTCGTCCCTCGGGTCTTCCCTTTGGAAACGTTTCTTCTTCAGTCTTGCGCTTGATTAATTAAGTATTAAGACTTTCAAAACAAATATCAAATAATCATTCGCTCCCTAGAAGTAAAAAGAGATAAAAATGGCCATGTTTTATGATACCAATGAAAAACTACTGTCTGAAAACTTCCTTAAACTATTAAGACTGACTTTCTTGAGTTTTAAGGAGTGGATTCTACTTCAACAGAATATTGTTATTACTGACTGACTATCGTTAATAAACTAGTAATAAACGTATCATACTTACACTCTCTCTGGCCACAACAGGACGCTAGCCAGAATTTTTATTTCGAAGTATGAAGTTAACGTCTTTCAAGAATATTTGCCAGCAACTTCGACGACATTCATCTTGAAACTTCAACTCTTTCGTTGGACAATTTTCATCGACAATTTAGTGCAAAAAACCCTCAAAACCCCTTCATTTCCTTCGCCTTTCGAGTTATTCTCCATTGGTAGAGAGTAAGAACCTGATAGTATGGTAAAGTCTGTTGTTTCTAACGATATTTTTACACTATGCAGAAAGCTTCACATTTGACGAACATCAAATGAAGTTTATTACCATATATGGACTTGCGATGTAGGCAAATATTACGCATGCGTAAAGGTATCTATGAACTATTACTTTTGCAAGGGTGTGACTTTTTTCCTAATTAGGCGAAGGGAATAAGAGAAAAGTTAACAAAACACTTTAGACAGATAAACTACCTTCAAAATATACCTAACTACATGTTCATGTTATCTAGTTTCGGCTTTCATCTTTTTTCCGTCGTTTTCGCCGTTTTCCTGTTCATTTGGGCAGCTTGCTGGCTCGACTTTTTTATCACGCCGGCAATTTCGGTAAAGAATTATCAAGAGGGGTAAAGTGATGACAGAGAATACACCAGCAGTGACAAGGACGGCTATCAGGATGGTGTTGACGTGGAAGGAAGCTGTCAAAGATAGAATTAAAAWATTGAAATGGAATTATGTTAYCAGGCCTTAGATTAAAAAGCCCTCCTATAAAGCCAAGCTATTTTAGCTATAAATCATGGGAGGCCCGATTTACCTATTTTGTTAAGTCATTTTAAGTCTTTACCCCAGTCATCCTAAATTTGTGAATATACCCCTAATACACCGACATCACCCTCTCTCTTGTACTACCGG